ACGTAAATAAAAATCTAAAACTAATTTGCTTCACTTAACTGATTATCTTTAAACATGTGACGAATAGAAGGATTCATGTATGTATATAAACAAGTAGCGCGACACAAACGCCGCTAAGCCCTCTACTGAAAGGAGATGGTAATCTATTCTGCACGCGTTTTGGACTAATCGGGCATATTAGGAGAAAAAGGTATAAGAATCTATTCTGTGGTTCGAAGGTGGTAGCCTTTAGTTATCCGATGCGGCCAACATTAAAATGATGTCACAAGGTTTTGCTGAGGAAAAATGGCGCTTTCGTTGAACTTTTAGCTTGAAAACAATTCACACTGAAAAAGAGCTCAATATTTTACGCGTTTTACTGGCCAAATATTAGCATAAATAAGGCGAACTCTACGAGAGCTGTAGCCAGAATACTGTATTTAGACGAAGCTAGCACTGAAATTAGCGATTAGATTCGTCAGTTAGTCTGAGCACTCATGAATCCATATGGATACGCCAGTGTTCTTCCATCAAAATACATACAAGCACAGACACAGACACAAACACTCATTTTATTTTTATTCAAGTCTAGCTATGACCAAGAGAGCCTAAATTCAATAAGCGAGATTTTCTGTACAATGTATGTTTCAGCTGTTTTTGCGCCCTCATTTTCATACTTGCCTTTATTCTATTTTTTACAAGTCATAGTATCGACTAGGGGTATGTCAGTTCAGTTTTAGTTCCGATCAGAAGAACTGTTTTATCTGAACTTAGATCTGAAAACGGTTATACCTCTTGTATCGATAAGCGCAGCGAGTCAGAAGTTCTATTGAAAAAAGATTTATTAGGTAAATTTCTAACATCAAGCAATCTAATTTGATGAGACCTAGAAAAAAAAACATTTGAGTTTTTGAATTCATAGCACTAAGTACTCGTGATGTTGATGACTCAGATTGAACCTACATTAATACTTGTGAGCAGCTAAATCTTCAAAAGACTACAAGACTAGAAATTCGCCTTATTTCATATGATCCTTCCTTCAGTCGAGGGAGCTAACAATTGAAAACTGCTGAGGGGTCACAAATACGTGTTTCCAGTTGAATAAATTCCAGAGATGTCCCCTTTTTCGTATCCTTTCCATGTAATCCAGGCTAATTTCACTGATAAAATTGTAGACCTTACATTTTTATTTCAACTTTTTGCAAACTTAGTCCTCACACTACGCACATTTCTTCACAGAAAGCATCCTCTAAAAACTACGCGATGTTGACAAAAAATAAAACATCATTAACGGCATCCTGCGAACAGAAAAGAAGAATAGCATACGTACTGAACTAAAAATATTTCATTCTAAACTGAACTTATCGAGACGTATGTCTTTCATAAATCTCAACCCAATCGGGCGAGCCGTTATTTAGGTACAGCCCTTTCAAGATTACTCTTGGTCGAAATGCTTACTTTCAGGACTCTGTGAATCATTCATGAAAACTCGGGGTTCGATATTTTTTCAAACCGACTTCTGTTAGAATTTATCGGAGTCTTATTTCTATATCAAATCTTGAATTGAGCAAAAACCAAATGGATTCGATTGAACAGACCCGATTGTTGGTTACTAAAAATCACTGACACGGATGTTCCGAATAGGGGACGCGTAATGCCTCCAGTCTTGAAAATTTTTCGAGTTTTCCCAGCAAAAATTTCAGAATTTTATCCGTTTTTGCTCACCAGTTTTCAAAAACTGCTCAATCACGTACAGAGTGAAAGAAAAAAGAATGTGGCTAGCTATAAATTTTCTTTCGTTCTGTGAAACGAACACCCGAACGAGCATTTGGCCATTGCAGTTGCTCAGCGCATTACCCTACTTTCAGTATAAGGAATAGAACTTTTTAAAGGTAGATGAGTACAGAGTGGTGTTAGTTTTAGCTCTTTAAAAACAACAATTTTTCTGGAAAGAAAAACTCTATTTTCGTCAATAGCGGGATTGACAAGTTGAAATTTAATTACAGATATTTTACTAATAAAATAAATAAACACGCACAAAAAATGACCCTATGAATTTCTTTTGTTTATTCTCTAGCTAAATTAATACTTGTCATATCAAGAAAAAACATTGTATGACATGTTTCATTCAATAAAATCGTATCAGCGATAAGTGTCAATGGCATTATCACATGAAAAGATCATAAATACACATACATCACTTGAACAATCAAGTTATCAGATGACGACACATGCAAGAGAGCACAAAAGAAATAGCCTTAAATATCAATTCTAGATTAGCTTTCACCACTGATAGATGATTGTATGATAATTATTAATTTTTTAAAGTAGACGACTAGTGATCAGTACAATTTAAAGACATTATTTTTGTCTTTAATATCTGATGACGAGTTCAAGAGTTTTAGGGCCTATGAGCCAAATGGAATCATGATTAGTTTCTCGAAAAAATATTTAATAAAAATCACAATAAATATTTATCGGATGTGTCCATCAAGATTATTGTTTGAAAGTTGATGTTTTTCCAACTTACGATGATTGATTTATTCAAAGCAAAGTTATCAATCAAGATGTGTCTCGTTGATTGCAGATAATAAAAATGTTTATTTTTCTGTCAGATAAATATTTCATCGATAAACTTATCGATAGACCTAAATATTGAACTAATAATTCATTTGAATCTATTTCATAACTACTTGTTCTAAAAATAAACTTACATCTAATTTATTTTGACTTGAGTACCATGATTTTTACTTCGATACTGAATCCATTACCTTTAAGAGCAATTTAAAAAGAATAATTTCAATTAAATTTCAACTTGCAATGATTTATAATGATCTTTAGATTCAACCAGGTGCACTTTTATTATGTAATAGTGCGGAATTGAGTCTACAAATTCTATGATTTTAATGGCGTAGAAAAACAATTCAGCGGCTGTGCGATGGTTGCCTTTTTATTACTATTTTTAGTTGAACTTTTATCCAAATGCCTTCCTAAATCTTACAGCCGTAAATAATGTGTCCTTGTAGAAGAAGTTGTGTTGGTTAGAATGTGAAGAGTTTCTGAGAAAATTTATGTTAGACAAGAACATATGACTCTATCAATGAAAAATGATAGTATAGATTCAATTTCGACGTTACACAACGACCACTAACTATCGAGTGAAATGATGCGACAAAAATAAAATAAATCTATACACACATGTATATCTAGTTGTGATTCACACTTGATAATATTTGAAATTAAAATAGAATTAACTTTTCGATTACAGGGGTCGCAGCGGCCTAGCATTCAAAGTCAGGAATCAGGACAGGAAATCCAAAGAAAAAAATCAGGAGTTTTACTCATAAATCAGGAAATCAGGGTTAATAAGTATTCATCATAAATGTTGAAATTTTACACATTGTTACGTCAAGGAAAACGTTTCTAACTAAAGACTTTTGTGTTCTGCTCTTTTGTATATCTTTGTTGTTCATTTCTCATACTCAATTATGCAGTAATGGGAGGACAAAAATGATCTCTTGTCTTTCAAGATTTCGCTCTAAGTTACGTTATCTAAAAGCTCTTTTTAATGAAAGCTGTTTTTTCTGTGTTGTCATCGTTCTCTGTTCTGTAAAACGGTTATTCACTCCTGGGATGTCAAATAATCAATGTATTTCTAGTTGTGTCATTAAGTCGCCTATATTGAAGTAAATTATACAAAACAACGATGCACTTAATCAATTACGAAAGAAAATGAGGAAATAAATTGAATTGTAAAGTTGTATATAAAAAATAAATATAATTTTTGTGAAATTCTCTTTCATTCACCAGTTGGAATAATACTCACAATTGGTTTGAAATGAAGATAAGTGGCCTAATACGGAGTAAGAAATCGCGCGTTGCTTATTTTCAGCAATTCATTACATTCATTGAATGTTAGTTTAAAAAGTCAGGAAAATCAGGAAAGTAGTGCCGCTGCGACCCCTGCGATTACAAACAGTTTCATCTCAACAATTAGAAAGAAGCTTAAATTAAACAGAACACTTATCTACACAGGGAAATCTAGTTCTCTATATCATGAATACAAAATTTATTTATATCATTCAAAGAAAATCTGAACACAATGATTTCAAAAAGAAATAGAATCAATAGAAAGAACACATAGGATTTCAAGCATTTGATTCGTTTACTTGCCATATTATGATCAATTGTATGTTCAACAAACCCCTTATTTTATGTCTTACTCTATTAGAAAATAGTGCTAAATTATTCTTCACAATATCTATGCGCATACCAACCACTCTGAGTTCTTTTTTAATAAAACTTGTTAGCGCAGTCCCGTTAGGGCTAAAATATGGAACTCACATATATCCCGTAGGCTTACTAAAATAAATCAAAATAGTTCATGTAAAAAATCTACTTTAATTTCCAAAAGCTATAATTAGGTCATTACCTAGTTGCGTATGACTTTAATGGAATATTAATTGTTACTTGACGTCTTTAGCAATGACAGAGGCTAGTTGTTATGGTCTGTAATGGGCAAATATGGCTCATTTCGCGTAGCCTGTAATAAAAAAAGAAGCAATAGCAGCCTAATTAGTTAAGTTCCTAATTAGAATAAGTTTAATGTCATTAATGTCTGTAATGGGGAGGGGGTGGTGGAGAGTCGCAAAAATCTCGCTTTTAAACTTACACCCGTGATTTTCTTCGAAAATATATGCGAGTTCCACAAAATAGAAATATTATTTCGAAAAATTCTATGCAATAAAAATTGTAGATAAAAGCAAAAAGCATCATGTGTTATATTCAAATTAGTTAAGTATTCCATATGTTGATATCTTTTGTATTTCAAATGGATATGATTTTTGATTAAAAAGTTTCAAAAAAAACACAGAAAATATTTTTATTGTTATATTTATTGATATTCTTAGATACAAGTGTAATTTGTTGTGGATGCATAAATAAAAACAAATGACACTTATTAGAGTACAGCTAAGTACTTATAAGCTAATTGAATCAGGGTTTGAAAGATGTAATCAATCTTATGTTTTAAATCTCATTCGTTGAACAAATTCTTTATTTGATATAAAATGATCATTGTTTATGTCGAAAAACTTAAATAAATCATTATTCGATGGAGTGTCATATTCAGGTTGCTCATGATCACGTCGAAGACGCCATCGACCAACGATCATATGATATTCATGAACCTAGGTAGGAACAAAAAATATATTGATAAAAAGAATAAATCAAATTTGTTTAAATACTTTTTGCAAATATTTTTTCAATTCTTCTCTTGAATTAAAACGTTCTGGGCGTTTTGGTGGAGCTTAAACAAATAATGAAATATAGAACATCAAAACAAAACAAAGTGAATTTCTTTAGAAAACTTACGAGGTACTTCGGTAAAACTTGCTTGAAGAAAATGAATAAGTGCAGTGACCAATAAAAGATGTACTATTGTAAATTTAGATCCCATCATATTTATATGATCTAAAAGAATTCATTGTAGATCTTTCATATTTTCTTACAGAGCCTATCGAATATAACACAGAAAGTTAACGGTAGTCTCACTGAATATATGTACTCGATGAAATACTTATCTCTGCATGTCTATACGCAATGAACAAGTGACTTAAATATGAATCTAAACAATACCCATAATAATATACTTCGAATTCAATGGTTTATATAAACATTCTATTTCTAATTTAATGCAAGATTTCATTTAGAAAACTTTATGAGGCATGAAAACAATATTTTTCAATGAATACTATATATAAACTGGCAACAAAAAAAAGAACTTGCTTTCGATGATATTTCCTATTATGAAAAAGAAAGTGGAAGAAACATGTTCAAACGATATTCATTGGTTGTCATATTGTTTTAACAGATTTTAATTTGAAAAGATAAGAAACAGAAAGAAAAAAAGTCTCTACTGAAAAATAGCCAAGGGATTCAAGATATAATAAGCTGTAATGACAGCAAAATGGTTATAGATTTTACCAAATCTGCTTAGGATGCTTTTAACGATATACTGCTAAATTTTAAACGCCATTGATATGAAACTAATATAAGATCAGAAAACACGGAATAAAAGAGTGCTTCAAATTATAAATAAACTATGTTTTTAATGAGATATTGATCGACATACAGTATGCAAAAAAATGATTTGGCCACTCACTACATCAATCTTGTAAAACTAATTTCATATTTAAGGGAAAAGAGTTTCTTGACTTTCATCACATTATTCGATAGCCCAGAATCTCTGCTTTATTCTACAATTCAAAAGGTTTTTCTTGAAATATATCTTTAATGAATTTTCAAGGATTTTCAAGAAGCCCCTTGATTTTCTACGCAAAAGTTTTACTCGGGCAGTTGTATTATTTCTTTTCTAGAACGTTAATTCCAAAGTAAAAAGTTTTGAAAAATGACTCATTCTATAAAGAAAAATGTTTTCTATCCGTTGGTATAGTTAAAAGCTGAAAATATATTTGACAGAATCGAAAAAAACCGAAATACCTCATGCCCTATAAGGTTTCTAGAAAATTATTTTTGTTAGCTTTTACTGTATAGAAACTTCAGTCAAAATATATCATTCGGCAAAAGAAAAAACTCTACTTCGAATGATGTTCTTCGTTTGGAAAATACTTACCATAGATTCAAATATATCATCTTAAAGAAAATTTAATTCTCTACAACCCTGTTTTAAAAAAACGCTTTTGAGCTTATCTTGTGACTGAAAAATCAAGGTTAATGAATCGCTTATAAATAGGGGTGGGTTATTTAATTTAATGCGAGTTAATTAACGGCGCTAATTAACTAATAGCGTTAATCGTTAATAGTAACGCTTTTAGTTAACGTTAATTTTCAATTAATGTAAACATACCACCCCTATTTATAAACCAAACTAATAGCGTTTGGCAATTAGTTTTCGCTTTTGTGTATACATTTTTCAAACGAAGAGCATCATTCGAAGTGAAGTTTCTTCTTTTGCCGAATGATATATTTTGACTGAAGTTTCTATACAGTAAAAGCTAACAAAAATAGTTTTCTAGAAACCTTATAAGGCATGAGGTATTTCGGTTTTTTTCGATTCTGTCAAATATATTTTCAGCTTTTAACTACACCAACGGATAGAAAACATTTTTCTTTATAGAATGAGTCATTTTTCAAAACTTTTTACTTTGGAATTAACGTTCTAGAAAAGAAATAATACAACTGCCCGAGTAAAACTTTTGCGTAGAAAATCAAGGGGCTTCTTGAAAATCCTTGAAAATTCATTAAAGATATATTTCAAGAAAAACCTTTTGAATTGTAGAATAAAGCAGAGATTCTGGGCTATCGAATAATGTGATGAAAGTCAAGAAACTCTTTTCCCTTAAATATGAAATTAGCTTTACAAGATTGATGTAGTGAGTGGCCAAATCCTTTTTTTTTATATACTGTATATTATACAATTTATTGAATTGATTCTCCTAAAAAATTAATTAGGTTGTTTTGAAAATATCCGTTCAAACACATGTTCCACGCATTCATTCAAAAGTTTAAAAATAGATAGAACATGAGATTAAAGGATGTGCTTGTGGCGTATGCTGAGATACAATTGGAAGTGTGAAGCGTTTTATTTTCTAAGAATAATATCGCATGAAATCATGAAGGGTAATATAACTAAAACAAAATCTTAAATAGAATCAAACTCATTGATAAAGTCTACTGAAACTATTTTATGCGAGTAAGTAAGCAAGTTTAGAATCTCGTTCATTTAATCCCGTAAGATGCACAGCATCGGAATATGAAAAAGTCCATCTTTCACGACTGTGTGATTTCGTCTTACTTGAAATACCGTGCTGTATCTATTCGATTTTTAACTAATGTTAGATTAATTATCAAAGTTGAGTGACAAAGCAGAAGCGTTGACGTAACGAGATAAACTAAAAAATAGAATGAAATTAAAAAATTTTGAGATGGAAACATATTCTAAGAAAAAAAAAACAGCAATTGGAGCGCATAAATGTAATGGTTAAATAGAACGGAATTAATTTCCTTTTGACCATAATGGATATTAAAAGAACACTAAATTGAAAACATAGACTACAAAATATCTATTAAGTGTACCATTCATATCTTTCAATACATGAAATAAAATTGGACAGCATCGAACTATGTGAGAAAAACAAAGAGAATGATTTCAATTGACTATTGAAGAGAGTTTTTAGCATCTCAAACTAACTCTCATAAGAGAAAATCGCTCTTTATCTTATATGTTACAAATTAATTAAAATATCATTTTCGTATATTATTTTAATTCTTTTTTAATTTTAATTGTGTAGGAAGTTTTATACGAATAGAACTAATTCTTATTAAAGGGCTTGATGCCAAACAATTATATCTAAACACTTTCAGTTAATCAATTTGCTCGACTTAAAAAACTTTTGTCTGGTACACCCATAAAATATTTAAAAGACTTGTGAAATTGAAAATAGAAATGTTGTCTTTTCTGATCGAAATCTATTTGTTGTTGCTATAAAAATTAATAAAAACACCGTACTTGACATATGAATACGATTACATGATTTATGATAGACGACGAAAAAAAACTTAAAAACATACTGCAATTGAGTCCTTTGAATCATTGAACAGCTGAAAACAGTAGATCGCTCAAAATTTCGATTCTTTTGTCGTCAAATGAATACTCGAACGAATTAAATTTATTAAATGATTTGTAGCTAATAAATAAAATCCGAATGTCTATTACTATGAGTGCCCTAAGAAAATGATCTATTCTTATTTTTTGTTGATAGACATAGAGTTCAATAGCAAAGTAGCAAACAGTCTTAATGGTTCCTCAGAACTATGTAGATAGCAGAATATCAAAAATTTATTTATTGAGAACTAGAAAACTTCGAAAAGTTTTTGGCTATAGAACATGTAGTACAACATAAACAACTACATTTTATGGCAAATGAAAACTACTGTGCAATAACGAGTCTTCTCTTTCCATAGGTACAATGAATTTATTTATGAAAGAGTTTAATTAATGACCTGATCGAGATATTTGAAGAGTAGCTGAGCTCCTTAAGAGGTGTCTAGACATATCACATTTTTATTGTAATAGATTGCGCAAAGATCTCTTAGAGGACCCTGGTATACTACTCGTAGAATCTCATGACATGATTAACTTTGTTCTTATTATTCAAACATACAAGATTGGCGTGCAAAACAATTTCATTCGGCAGGAAGCCGAGCTCTACAATTCATTTTAAAAGAGATGAATGGAAACTGAGATCTTCAGTACTTTTCATCGATCGATGCATCATCTGAATATTTAGTTGGCAGCAAAAGAAGATCTATACTATATATTTTTTGGTCAATGATAGATCATAACAAAAGTCAAAGGACTACATTCTACTGAATTTTAGAAATAATATGTATTAGCTTAATTTGCATAGAATTAACTGAATATTTATCATTCGTAATTTGATTAGCGACTTATTCAAAAATTAGATCATTGCTGAAGTAAGCTTTGCATTACTTAAAAATGTGTTTTGATTTTTCCAAGATTACCTACGTATGTCGAAGCTCTTTTTTCCGCAGAAAGAAAAGTTAATCAGCATTATATACTTAGGGTCGATTTCGTATTATATTGAGAGGATCTGAAAGAATGATTATTGCTTCATAAACTTTTATCGATCAAAAATTTGTGTAACAAAATTGTTGTGAATTAGATATGGATTATTCGCAATTTGACAGATTATACGTTGAAGAAAAAAGTACTTGTTTTGGATAGCAGTTCAAACTTATGTAAGTGCATAGAGTAGAACAAAGTATTAGAATATGTAGATTATTTCTTATCGTCAACAATACTCTTACATGTGATATTAGTGTAAAATATGGATGATGCATTGATCAGCAATTTCGTCCTGTATACGTTTTTTTTCTATCTATGTTGCTACAAGTTTTTGTGAGCTATCCAGAAGAAATAAAACATTTAAAATGCTCAAATCAAAATTTCTGTTACAAATACAACGAACAATACAGATATATTGACAGTTCCGAATTGGTAGAAAAGGCAGAAAAGAAAAACTCTGAAAAGGAAAATGCCGAAATGAAAAAGTATAATTAATAACAGTGTCGAATAAAAACTGCTAGAGGAAAAAGTAGAAAAATTTTGAAAAGGAAAATGTAGAATGAAACAGATGTCAATAGATAACGAAATTGTTTTTTTGAGTTGGTATTGGTTGTTAGTGGAATAAGTTAAATTCGTTGTCCTTCTCGTCTATAGTCTATACTTGTTCATTGTTAGCGTATACCATATATATAAATCAGTCTGGCGAAAACAACGAACAAATAATTCTCTCTTCAATCGTTGGCAATGAATAGTGAAATATCATTCTTAACGACTAATAAAGGTAAACTATTACTAGTGTTTAACCAATATATGTTCACATGCAATGAAACGTCCTCATTAAAAAAAGTATT